GGGGGGGAGGTATAATAGTTTACTTTTACCATTGACGGCTCACCCACTGCCTGAGACAACTGACAACACACGACGGCTTTGAGACTAAAACCTTTCTTTTTGTGCTATGAATGCTAATGAATATATGTATATATATTTGTACAAAACATTTCCTTTAAACTAAAGAGACAACATTACACAAAACAAAAGACAGCGCACCACAAGTATCACAGAGTTGATCAAAGAGACTCCATATCTTGTCTCTAGCCGTTTCCTTCTGTCCTCCGGAAGTTCTTTCATTTGACCTTGAACTTCCTCCAAAACAACAACGTTGGGCCGCTGGGACGAGGGCAAAGACAGCGGCACAGACTCGCGCTGGCTGTATAGGACTAGCGGAGGTAAGTTTGGCTCCGGCATGAACCGGTAGTCTAACACCTTCTCCTTGTCTCTCATGGCCACCGTCTCTCTGAGAAAAAAGCACAATAAGTCTATATAAGTGTACCAGTTTTACGCCCTGATCAACATTATAAGGTTATTTCAGAGGCAAGACCTTTAAATTTTACGTCCGTCTCCAAAAGGTCCAACCAAATGTGTTAAGAGCCTTGAAAACTCCATAAATCGACTTGATGTCAAGAACGCCCATTCTGGGTTTTGAACAATAGCCACCTGGTTTCGTTGTAGAGTACAGTAGAGTATCCAGCAAATGCAGCAAAATCTCCGGGAGAGGGAAAAAAATCTCGAGCATGACTGTTATTTTTGCCCTTGAACAAAAAAAAGGCCCATCACAAAGATTCATATCACAAGTTAAAAAAACAACAGAATTGTGGAATAAAATGTGAATAAAATGCCCATCTATCTTCATTAAAGGTTGAAAAATTTGCAGTTGAAGGAGGTAGGGGAAGCTTAGTATCAGAAGTAAAATTAGTGATAAAATGGCTGCCAAAGTTTAGTGACTTCAAAAGCTCGAGTGCCCTTGAAAACTACAAAGTTGCATTTTCTGTGCCTTCAATCAACGTTTTTCAGTAAAATCCACACAGAAATATGTTTTTAATTGGACATTAAAGGTGTTGAGCCAAAAAAAGAAGATTTAATTAAAATTGTCAAACGGTCCGAAAACTGCTGGTTTCTTTGATTTCATTATTTTGAAGAGCACCTGATTTCACCACGATGACTAACAAATCATTTTTTTTCATTTCAGGAAAATTGTGTAGAAGATAAGGAACCAGAGGTGGTGCATGAGAGAGACATTTTTGCAATGAGCCACATCTGTAAACTACCAAAAAAAACCCAGTGAGTTGTAGTTATAGTTTATTGCGATGCAGAACAAAACCAGCCAAATGTCACCAGGAGCAGATCAGGAGCAGACCCTAGCCAAATGACGATTTTATTTGTTTGTTCGTTTGAGTAAAGAAAGAAACACCGACACAACAATGGTCATTTAGTGCTGGAAGAAGGTAAGACAGACGGACAGGAACAACAGAGGGAAAGTAAAGAAATAGGACCTACCAGTGGCACCCTCCAACCTCTCGCGCTAAAAGATGAGGAGACAGTCAAGTACACCAGGGACAAAGAGAGTGGCTTAGAGCTCACGGCAACGTGGAGAGAATACATACCCTGTGTCCAGATCAAACGACCGTGTCTCGTTCACAACGGTGCCACCAGTATCTAAAATCTGAATTTGCCTTTCAATCTCGTAATCTGAGGAGCAAAGAAAAGGAAAAGAACGTTTATACAGTACATTTCTTCTTTCTGGGTGGGAAAAATCTTCTAGTCTGGAGATAAAATATCAAACATTTTTAAAAACAATTTTGACTGGAAATTGTATGATGAATCCATTTCCGATGTCTATTTTCCAAGAGAGGACGTATACAACTTTAAAAGTGTCCAAAAGAAAGCCATGCATTTTACTTTTGTAAACAATCAGAAAATAACCAAAAATTTGATCCTTAGCAAAAAATCCTCCTGTTGAGCGAAAGTACTTATATTAATTTCCATAGATAACGATTATTATTCAATAGTAGGATATGAGACTGAATTGAGTGAGAGACATATGAAGGTGAACCTTAGCACAGAAACACTTACTTCTAGCTGCTAAACCTCGGCACAGATACACTTACTGAGAGCTGCTTTTACCTCAGCACAGAAACACTTACTTCTAGCTGTTTAACCTCAGCACAGATACACTTACTTCTAGCTGCTTAACCTCAGCACAGAGACACTTACTGAGAGCTACTTAACCTTAGCACAGAACCACTTACTGATGGCTGCCCGCATGCTCTTCACAGAGTTGAGGTTTTTCACCTCTGTCCTGACCCCAAACTCTTCACCGGGTCGGTTCACCGAAATGTTGGCATCCACTCGCAGGGAGCCCTCTGTCAAGAGGAGAAAGGCTCACTGTATCACTTACGACACACGAGGAAATAATTCTTCAATGGATTCCTCCACCCCTACAGAAAACTGCCTAACACATTTTACTTTTGTTCATGCCCAGTACAGCAGCTATGTTTTTTGCTCATTCTAAAGAGCTGAAATTGTCCACAACGGCCGTGCATTGTCCAGGAGAAAAGTGGTTGGGTGTCTTAGACAGGTCGATGTCTAGGACAGGGTCATCACAATACAGAAAAAAACAAAGGGGGGAAGTTGGAACTTCATTGTCTTGGACAGGTGATTGTCTTGTGCAGGTGATCGTTTTGGGCAGGTGATTCTTTTCGACGGGTGATTGTCTTGGACAGGTGGCTGTTAGAGTAGGTTCGATTGTACATCAATAGTTGAGCACCTCACCTCTATGTCTGACACCTCGGCAGGATAAAAACAAAAACACCAAACACGCAGCCTGTCACACAAAGGTTAGAACTAGAACTCTCTGAGAATAACATTACATTTTGACCTAAGTGTCCTAAGTCTGACGAAGGCCATTGTCAAAGCAAACTGACAATATTATACTGATCTGTATAAGTAACTTTTATGATGTGTTAAAGTAAATCAAATTTCCCAATATCGAATTTGTCAGTGCTTTGAAATTCGCTATCATAACATTGCGAGCAACAAGAGTATACATGTAGGAGCATCTTCACTCTTTAATACCATATTACAGTAGTCTCCGCCTAAGATCCCGGTGCTCGGGAGCAAAGAAATGCGGGACCTTAGGCGAACCGGGATCTTAACCGACGATCCCAGGGAAGAATCTATGGGGACCTATGTTAAGGCTTGCAATCCGTAAAATGGTCTCCCTCGACCCTAAAATGAACTGACGAGACCCCTTGGTGGGTTTATGACATATGGCGAACAAAGAGAGGTTAACCTTGATGGCCTATCACATTGCATAGTGCCATGAGGCGAGCCATTTTCACTTATTATCCTATCATGAGTCTCAAGATCTACACTTATTCAGTTGCCCCTCTCCTTTACCTGTCCAAAATTTATAGCTTTCCATCTCTGACCGAGTTCCCCCCTCCTCCCTAAACGCCTTTGTCGTTACACACCATTACGTCATGAACACACAAATTAAAATTCAGTCTGTCTAGCAAATTCGGGCGTAGAGACAACTGCTGCAATCAACGCCTACTGCAATGGTCAGGGAAGAGTTCACGGTTCGATGTGATCCCGCCTGGAACGAACGTGTAGGCCCTATCCACCCAGCGAGTGATGTAAGTTTAGGAGGAGAGCTCAGGTGTGAGTGCGATGCGCGGGGAAAACAAACGTGTCGGTCAGTTCACACCCCGGTGTGATCCCGTCGGGGGCAAACATTGTATCGCTTCATCCAGTTTTACGTGTATTTGATCACATTCACGATAGCGGCTGATCTTTGACGCGACGGACAGTTTATTGATCTCAACTTTTCACTCTTGTTTGATCGGCTGTGCCCGCCCGGGTTTTTGTTCCGCAAATTATGATCTGAAATGCGGGATCTTAGCCGAATGTAGACCTTCAGAGTGAATCAGAGCGGGATCTTAGGGGTGACTTTTGTATAGTAAAAATTCTGTTTTCTTAAAACAGCGGGATCTTAAGCGAACCGGGATCGTAAGCGGTGGGATCTTAGGCGGAGACTACTGTATATCAACAAGGCTTGGAATAATCAAACTTGAAAAGGGAGGCACAATCTGCTAAATACAACTCAGAGGGGAGTTTTCATTTCCCTTATCCCTTTTCACATGATCCACTACAGAACAGATGGGACACCCACTGGAAAAAAGTACCAAAGCAAAAAGACAACTGAAAAAAAATGTCCACCTTCATGCTAAGACTTCCCAACCAACTGCCATTCTATTTCAAAACTTTTTAAAAAAGGATCCCCCCCCCCCCCCCCTCTTATTTGACCAAATCCAGTAATCTCTTAAACATTAAATGGTGAAAGACAACAAAAAAAGATATGGAAACTTCACATCTTAAACTTTTCAGGACTGTCAGATGATATGTCTAGCCTTATATAACGTTACATTTTTTCGTAAAAAGTTACAGCACTTAAACTGACAGGGCAGAGGCAAGAAGAATAGTGCTGACTTTCATTCATCGTCAGTGGCGAGGAAAATGCGTGCTAACAAAGGCACAGGTAACAAACCGATTGGCGATATTTCCATTCTTTGACTTGCCTGCCATTTTCCCGTCACATGTTCCGATAGAGACCAGAACATCCCGCAAGTCTCTGACAAAGCTAGCTGCATCGTCACCGCCGCAGAAGTCAGGAGCTGTCACAATTTCCATGAGCCCCACACCTGTAGACAAGAGTGATGCCAGCACGTGAGACAACCCACAGAGGAGGCGGGAAGAGAATTGGCGTCTCTATTAAAAATGTAGAAAATAATTTATTCTAAAGAATGAAATGTAGGTGGCCGGCGAGTGCTCCGGTGCGGTTTGCTCCTTCTTTCCTCTATCAAACATTTATCATCCTCATCTTTCTTCCTTTTCTTCGTATGCTACTCTCTTGTAACATCTCTAATTACCTGAACTTATATGGCCTATTAATGTTGCAAGTACTGTAAAACTCTTACTAAAACTTAGTAAAGAAAGAACAGATTTTCTTGAAGTACTTGGCAGGTCTCTGAACCTCAGACTTATTATTGATTTTAAAAAACAAAACAAAACAACAAAAACTCATCTTTCGGGAGAAAACATTACAGATCAAATGTGTGTGCACTGCAATCCCAGTATCACTGGTTCATTCAGATTTCTTCAGTATTACACTGGTCTTATTTTGACAAACTTCCTGATCTCCTTTTTCCCTCTTTCTTCAAAGTGCAGAAAACATCAGGCAAGACAGAGAGAAAGAGAGAGAGAGAGA